GTACGCACTGAGTAATATGTTAACGTTTGCTCCTGCTATTGCTTATAACGTGAGTGGTTGGTCGGTGTTCTGCTGTGGTTAGCTTCTTCTTTCTTTCAAACATCTGTCGGTTTTTATTTTGTTTTTAGCTTAGTCAGAGTTTTACGGCGCTCTCAATTGCATACTGTCATATTGTTATTATGAGCGTGCAAAACACAAGATTGTTGCATTTGCAACAGTTCACAGAACGGCCTGGTTTCGGTCAGTGATCAGATAAAAAGGTTGAAAATGTCATTGTACAATTTTCAAACTTTAAAAAAATTGCCATTTATATTACATTAAAACGACAGTATTGCAGCTTTTTGTGAAGACTAATGATTTTTTTTTTGTATATCATGCTCGCTTCAGAAACATCTCTAAATCTTTGGAACTTTTATGACCTATTTGTGTTGTCATTGTGTAAAAACTTAAACACTATTTTATTTCTGTCAGCTTAATCCACCATTCTCACAATATGTGAGACAAAACATCCCCCCCCCCCAAAAAAAAACCAATTCAAAACCCGAAAAAACAACATCTTGATGTTTTCTTTTATTATGTCAACAGAAGTGCACCTGGCCTCTGAACACCACGTGACTAAGCTAGATAATAATATGTCCTTTAGCGTGAACAGAGACATAGACTGCTTGGAGTGGGTGGTTGGCGAGGGATCTGGTGTGGTTTGCTTGCTTCTTCTTTCCTATCAAACATCTATCGTCCTTATAATCTCCTCTTCTTCTTTTTTTATGTTTGTAACTCTCTTTGTAACACCTCTAATCTTCTGGTGCTCATATGACCTTATGCACTTGCGAGCACCGTTAAACCTCTACTAAAACTAAACTAAAGACTGCTTATGTTGAAGAAAAAAAAGAGATTGTCTTTATACTGAAAAACAAAATTGTTCCACGGAAAGAAATGCACAGAAAGCAAGGTGACATTCACACCCACCTGTGCGAACAGGTGGGATGGGAGAATAATATTATACTCTTAAGAACAAAGCAAAAGAATTTCGATCACCTAATGCTATCCCATGCACTGTGCAAACACGATTTTTTCATGTAGGTTAGTTAAACGCCCACATCAACATGCGTTATACATGCATAATGTAGGAGGTGGGTTTTGGACACTAAATTAATTTCAGGCCAACCCGTACTGAGAAGGATACAGCTTCCTGGAGAGAGAAACTGATTCAAGTAACACGATAAAAATTCTCCCCACTCGGGAATCGAACCCGGGTTTTCTGTGTGCGACGATAAAGCGCATAGCTGTGACACTACAGACGCCGGTCATGGACACGATGAGAAGAGGTCACATTAGGATTATATTATGTGTCTTGACGTGGTGAATCAGGCACTCGTCAATTTTTGGGCATGTGAAGTCATTGGTATCCTCATAAAGCTTGTTCATTAAAATTTGTCTTGCTTTCGTTAAGGGCTGGTGGGGCACCTGAGGTCTATTTTGGCTATTATAAGGCCTAGAGTGTCCATATTTGCGGTGGGACATCGTGTGTTATTGGGGATTTGAAATCAATAGTTCAAAAAGTATATTGTGAATAGGTTGCTTAGGAAATGGCGGCCACATTGGATTTAGTATACCTTTTTCAATCCCATTTTATTCCCTTATTCAAGAACCGATTCACTTCTGATTTGGCATGCCAACAGTAAATGTGTCACTCGTAAATTGGGCCGGTTGAATTTTTTGTATAAAGTTTAGTTTTTATTTTACGACACGTACAATTGGGCTGTTGCAAAAAAAAAAGTGGAAAAATGGAAAATTCATGCTTTTAAGGCCATAAATAAAAAACTACTCTATAAATTTTTTTAAAATTCAACAAGAGAAAGTTTACAACTATGTGTTGTTGGTATCCTTTTAAAGTTAAATTAAATTTGAATTTTTAAAAACAGAGCGCAAAAATGGGATAATGTGTGAAAAAATAGAGTTGTGATTAAACAGCCGATAAAGGTAAGAAAAGGCGGGGAAAAATTTGCTTTCGCAGAAAAAACTGAAATGAAAACACAGCTTTAGGGTGTAGCAAGGCTTACATACGTTTCTGGATATTGCTCAGGAAATAGGTACTGTAATATGTAATAACCCCGATTTTCACAATTTGACCACAAAACACGATTTCTAGGTGCCCCATTAGACCACAAATCTACCTCGAATAAGAGTCGAGATTTTGGAAATTGAAGGAGAGATTTGCTTGGTTTCAGAAGTGAAATTAGCTGGGAAAGGGCCAACAAAGTTTGATGACTACCAAAGCTTGACAGTCCTAGCAAAATGTAAATGATGTAATCTGCTGTGTCTTTGATTAACGCTTTTCAGTAAAATCGTGTTTTTAAATGTACATTAAAAATATTGAAACAAAAATGGAAATGTTGAAAAAAATTGCCCAACGTCCATAAAAATGCAGATTTCTTTAATTTCGTTATTTTGACGGGCGCTGAATTTCACCATGATGCCTCACATATAGTTTTTGTCACCATTGTCTTTTCGATATTAAAATTGTATTGAATCTGCTAGATGCCTACTACTACTACTACTACTACTACTACTACTACTACTACTACTACTACTACTAATAATAATAATAATAATAATAATAATAATAATAATAATAATAATAATAATAATAATAATAATAATAACAATAATAATAATAATAACAATAATAATAATAATAATAATAATAATAATAATAATAATAACAAGGACAAAAAAACATGAACATCAACAACAATAACAATAACAACAAATATAGAAACAATAATAATAATAACAATAATAACAATGATAAAAATAATAGAAGAAGAAGAAGAAGAAGAAGAAGAAGAAGAAGAAGAAGAAGAAGAAGAAGAAGAAGAAGAAGAAGAAGAAGAAGAAGAAGAAGAAGAAGAAGAAGAAGAAGAAGGAGAAGAAGAAGAAGAAGAAGAAGAAGAAGAAAAAGAAGAAGAAAAAGAAGAAGAAGGAGAAGGAGAAGGAGAAGGAGAAGGAGAAGGAGAAGGAGAAGAGGGAGAAGAAGGAGAAGAAGAAAAAGAAGTCTACTGCTATGGTTCTGTTCTACTTGACAGTCTACTGCCATGGTTCTATTCTACTTGACAGTCTACTGCCATGATTCTGTTCTAATTGACAGTCTACTGCCATGGGTCTGTTCTACTTGACAGTCTACTGCCATGGTTCCATTCTACTTGACAGTCTACTGCCATGATTCTGTTCTAATTGACAGTCTACTGCCATGGTTTTGTTCTACTTGGCGGTCTAGTGCGATGGTTCTGTTTTACTCAACGGTGTACCACTGGGCCAGTCTTGGTGTTTTGCAAAGCCCCCCCCCCCCTCCACACACACACACACACACACACACACACACACACACACACACAAAAACGACGTTATTTAGAAACATAGCAGCCATGCTCGGATTTAACCTGCCAAAACCAGCCACCCCCGGAGGGATAATATCTTCCAGCACAAAGTGTTTAAGATCGAAATACTCAATACAAATCCTCCCTACACTGGATTCGAACTTGGGGCCTAACCGTGCAGCACAGAGGCGGTAGTAAAATTCCAGGGAAAAGAAAAAAAGGTAGACTTGCCAGTGGCACCGTCATACCATCAAATCCAGGGGTCTCGAACTCGTGGACAGCTAGGGAAGCATAGTCTGAGGGATCCACTGCTACTTCAAGAATTCCGAAGATCAATAGATTTTAAGTATTATTATAGTTTCGATTTTAGTCCGAGTTTTATGGCCCATGCAACACAATTTGGTCATATAGGTGCCGGAGACTATTACAAGAGAATAAGGTACAGAAAAAAGAAGGAGGGAAAAATAAGGACGATAGATGTTTTAAAAGAAAGAAGGAGCAAACCACATCAGAACACCCGACAGAATTTCTTTTAAAAGTACATCTGATCTAATCCTCTAAATCTTTACTAATAGAACATACCCTTCACTTACGTACTCCTTCCCGCCCGGGAACTTGCAACCCTTCCATTGACATAAAGCAGCCACGTACAAAGTTGGCGTCCTCATTAATACATAACTAGACTTTGATGTCAAGTGGCGGCAGCAAAATATTATCGTCATGTGTGACTCAACAGACCTGCGGGACCGAGAGTGTGAAGCCCCCAATCGAGGAATATGCTGCAAGAAACGAAACGAATGAGCTTTTTCCACAATTGCGTACCCCCCCCCCCCCCCCCCCCCCCCCCCCTCTGAAGGCTCACTCGGTGTCATGAATAATATTTATCTCTTAAGAAGTACTAAAAATTTAGTATTGGGTTCCCCTTGTGTCACCGAGTGTGGATAGGTGAAGGTCTTCCAGATATAGAGAACAGCTGCTTATCAGTCACAAACTAAAAGGGAGATGGCCGTAGAGAGTAGAGTAGAACACTGGTGGTACGGGTGCTCCGATGAATGCCTCAACACTCATTTCGTGAACAAGTGACCATCTTGGCGACGGGAAGTGCAATTAGTCGGACCAAAGTCCCCACTGCCTTGTATGATTTCAGTGGATGACAAAAGCTGGCAGAAAAAAAACAACTCTACACAAATCGGCAGTAAGCAACAGGAAACCACTACTGTTATCTCCGAAGAAATTCATAGCAAGACACACGCATTTCTCACATAACAATCAAAAAGGGGTTCTAGATCCAGCTCTAAACCTCTTGCTCGGTAAGGACCACCACGGGCAGCAGGTGGCGCCAGACCCACCTACTGGCAGCAAAACGAAATGTATAAACTTAAGCTTTTAAGATAAATTAGAACGGCTTAGAAATAAGGCTTTTTCGAGCTTCCAATATCACAACTACGCTGGCATAAAGTTAAATCAGTACAAAGGTGGTTGTATAGGGTATTTCCGATGTCTGGGGAGGTGGGGAGGTAGGTAGGTAGGTACTACGCAGGTCGCTAAATGCAGGGCAGGTAAAGATGTGGTGTGACACTGTTTCATCCTGGCTGTCACACAACGGGAAGTCGGGAGGGGTAAGGAATTTAGTGCATCTTTTGAATTGGGAGCAGTCATGTGTGCAAATACAGTTCTTCCAGTTTTGCCCATTGCCCATTCATTCAGCCACTTTTCCCTGGTGTTGAATTTGATGATGTTCTTGACTGTCTGTTGTGACACTGGGTTTTGAGGTTGTGTTTGTGATGCTCCCTTCTTGGCAAGGGTGCCTGATCTGTCGTTTACTGAGATGTTGCTGTGGCCAGGTATCCATTGTAAAGTCAGGTCGACGACATAGGTCTGTATGAAGGTGTTGATTGTTTGAGCCACAGATAGGCAGGCAGGGCGTTCGAAATTCATGTTTTCCAAAGCTTGGAGTACTGATTTTCTGTCTATGAAGATAACAGTGTCCTTGATTCTGTCTGGATATATAAAGAAAATGTTGGTCAGGTAGAGGATTGCTGCTTCAATGGCGATGACTTCTGCCTCGTAATTTGTACAAAAAGTACCACAATCATCAAATAGGTCTTCACATATCCTATTCTTACCTCAAAGCCTGCATTAATTTTTCCCTTGAAGGCTGACCCACCTGTGTAGATATGAATTGAATCACTAGTTGTCTTGAGAGCTGTGGTCTTCAGTTCTACTGGGTCACATTCCTTTTTCACTGTCTCCTTTATGGGGGATAAATTTTGATGTTGGCGTTCTTGAAGTTGGTGTTTGGAGGGAGGGAGTTCTGGTCTTAAGGGTTTCAGCATTTTTCTGTTAATTGGAAGATTGTGTGGGGTGGTTGTTTGTTTTTTGTTGGGTTTTTTTGCTAGTTTAGGGGCTGTGTTGAGTATGGATCTTCCATGAATTCGTTTCATAAAACATTATAAATATGATTATGTTTGTTACAACTAGGATTTTACAAAAATGAATAGATTAATAACAAACACTGACAGTGAAACAACCGACAAAATAAGTTATCAAAAAATTAAAAGGACAAAAAAAGAGTTTGTTTCCAGCTTCCATGATCATAACTAGGCTGGCGTAACGTTAAATCAATACAAGGGAACTTGTAAAAGAGCACACCATGTTTTTAAGATACAACTTTGTATTCTGATTGTTAATGCACGAACATGAACAGATTATAAACTCATAGCTGGGTGTATAATGACCGACATAACAAATTGTTAAATAAATCAGAAGGACAAAGGAGTCAGGCTGCTTCTAGCTGCTAATATCACAACTACGCTCGCATAAAGTTAGGTCAGTACAAAGATACTTGCAAAAGAGCACACACGGGTTCTAAAATACAATTGGGTTTTTTTTACAACCAGGCATACACAAAAATGAAAAGAGTATCTGAAAGTGCAACCACCAACATAACAAGTTATTAAATGCATAATATGAATGACAAAAAGGCTTTTTATGTTTCTAATACGGTGTGCCCACTACGGCTGGGATCGGCTAAAAAATCAAACGTGTTTGTTTTCAGTTTCAGGCGATCGAGTCGGGCGATCGGCCCGATCCAGCCGTAGTGGGCACCCCGTACCAGATTACAACTAGGCTGACATAAAGTTACGTCAGTACAAAGGTGCTTGTACGAAAGCATACAAAATAAGTGCAGAATTCACGCTCTTACTCTCAAACTGACAAAATTTTCTACTGTGTACAGCCCGGTACCCATTTCCACCTGGGTGAAGTGAGAAAAATTCATGAAAGTGTCTTCCCTAATGGCACAATGTCGATCCCTGATGGGGTACGAACCCACAACTTTACGGTTACGAGTCCGAGAGAATGGCCACTAGGCCACTGACCCCACAAAAACGATTCATTTCCACATGAGGATGTTTGCAGTTTCCGGGATTCTCTCTTGGCTTGAGCTTTTTCATACATAAAACCTCATAAAATTATTTCTGATTTGCTTGTGGGTATCAAGAACAAAAGATTAATGTTAAATGTCCTTCAGAGACATTTTCATGGTGTTTTTATAGCATCTTTATTGGTATCACGAGGATGTACAACTTTATAAAAGCTCATAATTTACGTGGTTTGGTTTTTTTTCAATATTTAGAATGGCAGACAGTCTACGCACCCCCCCCCCCCTCCCCTTACTGAAGACACCGGATAGAGGAGATGATTATATTATTCCATTTTTCCACTCAGTCTCGAACCCTAGATTTCTGAATGGCAAACCATGTTTGTCACCTACTACACCACTACAACCATCGTCTGGACTAGAAAAAAGCAGTCAAATAAAAGCAAAACTAGTGTACAAAGGGGTAAAAATTGTTCTCACACCCCTCTCAAACCCCCGCAAAAAAACTAACGTTTCAACACATGCGGGCTCTCACACACAAGCAACTCAACCTTATTTCCTATCTGAAATCTATTGTCCTTGCCTCGCCCCTTTCTTTTTGCTCTGCTTGTTATTATCTAGTAACACATAATTATTTCCTACTACACTGCTCTCGCGGTCAAGAGCTACAGTTCTCGCCTCTTATTCAAAAGGTCCCGGGATCGAAACCTGACTGACGAAAAAAACTATTTATCTGAAATGTTCTCCTTTCAGCTCCTTTTCTGTTTCTGGTCCTGTTTTGTCGTTTTTTTCTCACTTCTACTCCCCCCCCCCCCCCCCCCGACCCCTGACCTCTACATAAGGGCATAGAATGTACTTTCGAAATCGGAATGAGACTACCTGAAGGCAGGTGGCCCTACAAACTAAGGAGAACAGTGATATAGGTGGAAGAACAAGCAGCCGACTACCCTTGAGATCAAACAGAGGAACCCAAAGAAGAAAAAGATCCTCTGCACTTATATGACCTATTTCTGCTGCAAGTGCTGTAAAAACTAAAGAATCACAGATTTCTTTGTGGCAAACTAAATTTGTCACATACTGCATCACGTCACCGTCCTTTGGGCTAAAGTCAAAAGAAGTGTACAATGTTGAAACCCCCTCCCAACCTCATACCTCCTGCTTCCCCCTCCTCCCAGCTCGCCCCCCCTCCCCGTGATCCCACCCCCAGCCCCAGCGAAATAATATAAAGCTAATGTTGACACACATGGGAGCACTCACACACTAGCAACACAGCAATACTCACGTTTATTGGCGTGGGCTGCGATCGGTGTATACAGTTGTGTAACCAAACTTTTGCACCTTCACCATTGGTTCTTTCTTGTGTTTGGTATTTGTTTGCTATTGGGCGTTTTGTGTTTTGTTTGATATTGGTCAAAACGTGAGCGGGAAACGATAATCAAGTAGTATATATAAATGTATGAGACTTGATTGTCTCCTATAGCTACTAGCTGTCCGGATTCTTAAAGGTAAACATACATGCACACTCATTTCACATGAAGACAACATTTTTGATATGCTTAAAGTTAAACATTTGTCACATTTTGCTACCTTAGAATTACAAAGTTTTAACTGATATTTTTGGCCATTTTGAGTAAACTAAGACCATGAAATCAAAAACCACAATACCTATCTGCCCTATTAAAAATCGTGAGGTAATTCTGAGTCATCATCGAGATATTCAAAGAATGTTATTCAGAAAAGCTTGACCATGTTGTGTTACACGAAATGTTCAACTTCACATTTCTCAAAACTAGGTACTGAGAAGATAGAACTCTGTTGTTCTAGAGTAGCGGAGTTCTATACTGGTTTGATAGCGTGGGCTTTTTTTACAAGTCAGAAATGGGCAATGACTCTATATCTCTTTGAGGACGTAGTGGGCAATTGCATCAGATAAGTAAAAGAACAGCTGGCAATCTTGTGGCATATTCTGAGCTATCATCCACAATTTAGAAACAATTAATTAAAATATTCCAAAGCATTCAAACTGTTGTCAGCCCTTTTAAAGATTTAGACAAAGATAAGAAAACAGAATTGAAAATGATTATCGTCAGCCAACTGTTTAAATGTTGTATATTTAAAATTTTGATTTTTAAAATATTGCAGTTTTCAAATCTGTGCTACCTCAGAGGCGAAGCGTCTATATAATCAAATAATCGTTACTTCCCTTCCTAATTTTGAAACATTGTCGCAGTCAAATTCACCCATAGACGTAAACCTCATTGTTAATGCACG